ACTCGGGGGTAGTCCCCGCAAGGTGCAGCAGGAGCCCGAATGGGCGTGCCACATGTGCACACTGTGCGTTTAATTTTACATGCTCAGCTGCGCAGATCGAGACTGACCGAGGATCTAATAGCCTCAATAAGGAGAGTTTTCTCGCTTGCTCAGCTTGTTCGACGCCCAGAGCACAGACCTAGGCAACTGTATTTTTGTTGAATGTGTTTGTATCTTTCTTGGATGTCTGTGTCCTTCTTGTATCGATCTCCTGTATCACTCTCCTGTATTACTTTGACCTCGTCGGCGATTGGTCGGCAGCGGCGAACGAATATTATTGCATTTGTGCTCGAACCACAGAGTTTCGCAAGATACAATCGTTCTCCAGTGCGGGTAGGAAAGCTGGTCAATAGACCGACATCAACTATATGGTCCGCTGTCTGTGTCGGCGCTGCTGGTTGTCGAGAAGAGACTTGGATTTGACGTTTCGGACCAAACATCCACAACCAGGCTTCATGAAGTCACCTATCCTCATGCTATTGTAGGCTTGGCCTCGACCACACCTTGCGCACCCTCTTACAGGCTTCAGTACATCTCACGATGCCCTTGGCTTTCCCTCGGCTGATCTTCGTCGCCCTATTTGCCCTGAATTGTGTACTCTGGTCTTCTAGCCGGTACGGCCAAGTCCCTCGTTCCGGCTTCCTACATGGCGAACACAGCTTAGTGAAGCGGATATCCCTCGAGCTCGCGAATCCATACGCTCAGTCCGAGACACAGGTGCGGCCACGGTGGCGTACGGCAGTCGCTCTATGTTGACATTTTCCAGTGTCGGCCGCTCGCATTTCCTTCCATCGAACAGTGCGCTCATGTGCAAGAACATTGTATCCTCCCCCCGACATTCCTCTCTATCCCATATATCCGCCACTATTACTGCACCGAGCCCACATTGAGGCCACTGGCCTTTACAGCCCTCATCGTCTGGCTCATATTTCTGTTCTCCACACTGGGGATCAGTGCTTCCGACTTCTTCACCCCCAATCTCGCTACAATCGCGCAGTTGCTGGGCTTGGATGAAAATGTTGCCGGCGTCACTTTCCTCGCTTTCGGGAATGGAAGCCCTGACGTTTTTTCTACGTTCTCCGCCATGCGGGCCGGTTCCGGCAGTCTAGCAATAGGCGAATTGCTGGGTGCTGCGTCCTTCATCGTCTCGTGTGTGGTCGGCTCCATGTGCATCATAAAACCATTCCAACTTCATCGGCCAATGTATTTTATTCGCGACGTTGGATTTATGTTCGCGGCCGTCGCTCTGCTCCTGGTTATATTGTGGGATGAAAGCATCCGATTCTGGGAAGGCTGCTTTGATGATAGCGCTCTACGTTATATACGTAGCCATCGTAGTCGTCGGAACTTGGTGGGAACGCAAACAGGAACGGAAGAGGGCGCATGAAGCCATGATACGCTCCGAATATGACGACTCGGATATCTCCTCGACTCCTTACAAGAACCCTACCGGGACTTTCGTGAGTTCCATGACGTGCCTGATTTTTTCCTTGTCACTTAACACGATGCCAGCCGACTCTTCACCCTCCCAATCACCCAACTCAATATTGGCAGCTCCGTCCCCAACCAGAGCGCGCGCCATTTCTGCCCCAGGACCAGTACCGAGGCTAGAGCGGCTGCAGACCGATCTACCCCGACGCCCTCATTCACGAACGCCGTCGCCGTCTCCTTCCTCTTTTGGAGGCGGCCACATGCCATCATTTTCCCTCGTCGGTGCTCTGGAGTTCCGTCAGGTCGTTGCAGCGTTGCAACACGAAGCTGCGGGAACTTCACTCCACGTATTTGACGGCCCTTTTACCCCTTATGCCGGAGGCCACTACAACGCCCTTCGGTCAAGGTCTCGAACTCTTAGCCGCGAGGTGGATCCTTGGGATGCTGCCCTTGGACTGCCCCTCGACGAGCGCTCGCGGCCCCGGGTGGTGTTGACACCTGCTCTTACGGAGGAACCAGACGCTTTCATGGATAGAAGTACCACAACTTCTCGTGCAAATTCCGTCCCGTCAATTTCCCGGACGCCTGCCTCACCAACCCTCTCCGATGGTGACACAGAGTCGCAAACCTTTCAACCTCCAACCCGGAAGCAGCGCTTCATCTACGCAGCTGGGTGTGTATATCACACGCTCTTCCCCTCCCTCCACCGTTTCAGAAGTAAAACTGTCCTTGGGCAAATCGCCTCCGTATTCGCTGCTCCGGCGGTCATGCTGCTAACACTTACGCTGCCGGTCGTTGTTACTCCGTATGAATCCGCCTTGCATTCCCGCGAAAAGACACCAGGCGAAGAACCGAACCTCATTGATTTTGAGGAGGAGGGGATCGAGCGAGTCCTTATAGCGGAGGAGGAAGTCGAGGAAGAGATGCATGGAATGGTGTACAGCAAATGGCTCACAGCTGCCCAGTGTACTTTCGGTCCCCTGTTCTGCGCGATGGTATTGTTCGGTATGTCCATATTCGCTGTTTGTTTCCACTCTTATCAGTTGTAGGCGGGAACAAGCATTATCAGCTTTGGGCGTTGCTCTCAACAGGCCTTGTCGGCTCGGTTGCATCCGTCCTTGTTGCTCTGTTCGCCGAGAATGGTGCACATCCCTCATTCCGTATGACTCGTTGTTCGATCGGTTTCTTCGTCGCTATTGTATGGATAATGGCTATCGCGGATGAGGTGGTCAAGGTGCTCCAGGTATGTGTGTAACTCTAGTCCGCCATGGAAGGTTGAGCCAATCTTTGTAGACCTTTGGATTCATCTTTGGGCTATCGGATGCGATCATTGGTTTGACCATCTTTGCGGTGGGCAACTCTCTCGCCGATCTTGTGGCTAACATGAGTGTGGCGGTGAGCACCTAACTCTCGTGGCGACGAACCCGTATTCATCTTATCTCTAGGTTTTTGCTCCCATCATGGGGTTCTCTGCGTGCTTTGGAGGGCCGATGCTCAACATCCTACTCGGTGTGGGAATATCAGGCTCCTACATCATACAGCAAACGGAGAAGCCATACGAACTCCATTTCGGCAACACGCTGCTAGTCAGCACGGTGGGGCTCCTCATCCTCCTGGCGGCCACGCTTATCGCAGTCCCACTGAATGGCTATTTCTTGACACGGACATGGGGAATAGTCCTGATTGTTGCATACACGACGATAATGGCTGTTAATGTGGTCGTTGAGATCAAAAGTTAATTTATACTAACACACCGGACAGTAGCAGTAATAACATATGTACCAACATGGAGGCCTCCATAATAGACATTATTTTTTTCCATGTCGAAGTTGAGCATCGGGATGGCCTTGGACAACATGGCACAACAAAAATCGCCTTGAAGCTGTACGTCATGTCGGATGAAGTTGCAGCTCAGGAAATCCAGATAAATGTCAAGGGTACCGTCTTTTGAAGCCAAAACTCGTCTCTCCACTTAACATACCCAGGCCCGAGCGAGTTGAAGCTCCAAATCACCATCACCACCGATAAAACTGTCCTTGAACTCAAGCAAGCTATCGCGGAGAAGTCAGATGTCGAGGCCGAAAGGCAACGCCTTATCTACTCGGGTGCGTCCAATCTTTGCTCCTGACCAAATCCCGACGCTAATCCTGTCTCCAGGGCGAGTTTTGAAGGTATAATTGCTCCGCAAGTCGCTAACAAACGCTGACGAATATTGACAAGGACGAGGATTTATTGTCTGTGTACAAGATCCAGTCGACCCACACCATCCATATGGTGAAGGGCGCTGTGCGTTCTGGCAATGCGTCCACATCCCAGCCCGCCGCACCACAACCGTTACCGACGATGCAAACCGGGCAGAACCCTCACGATCCGTTAACGCAGCTGAACAGCCACATGGGTTTCGGTGCCATGGCTGGTCTGAACCCTTTCGCGGATATGGGTTTAAACCCCAACGATCCCAACATGGTGTGTACAATTTCTCGTTGGATCTGCAAGTTAACCGACGCCTTCCCAGCTGCAAGGGATGATGAACAACCCCCAGTTTCTTCAGCAAATGTCGACGATGATGTCAAATCCCGAGATTATGGACCAGATAATAGCATCCAACCCACAGATGGCCGGAATGGGGCAAGAGGCCCGCGCCATGATGCAAAGCGAACATTTTAGAAACATGGTGTACGTGTCCTCTTAATCAGCATTGACTCAGGTCTTACTGTTTTCCAGGTCGAACCCCGAAAATCTGCAACGGATGCTCCAAATGGCGTCCATGTTTAACGGGGCGGGAGGTGGAGGGGGTGCCAATGCATTCCCTGCGCCTGGCATTCCGGGTGCTCCGCCCTCTGCAAGTACTCCTACAGCGGCCCCGGCAGCTCCCGGCTTTCCCAACCTATTTGGCGGCGGCGGCGGCGCTGGTGCACCTCGTGGCCCAGCCTTCGATCCTGCGTTGCTTGCTGCTTTGATGGGAGGACCGCCAGCGGCTTCTCCTGCTGCCCCCGCGGCAGGGGGCGCACCAGGTATGGACCCGGCCGCGTTGTATCAACTTCTTGGTGGACTGGGCGGCGGTGGTGGTGCATTCGGCGGCGCTCCACCACCCCCCGCTGATACCCGGTCGCCTGAGGAGCGATTCCAGGTTCAACTGCAGGTTCGTACTTTGTATCATTGCGGGTGACAAGACGAATAACACTTTTCCAGCAACTGCAGGACATGGGGTTCACCAACGCATCTCAGAATGTACGTGCTCTTCTCGCGACGGGTGGAAACGTTCATTCTGCCATCGAATATATCCTGGGCGGAGGGGGCATTTAGTGTAGTTGAGATAAACCATTAAATGTAGAATATCTTGACCGGTGTATTTCTTGTGCATCTTCGTGTTGTTTATGTAGAAACTGAGGCTATTCGAATCCTTGGACACTTTTAAAACCCATCTTGAACCATTTGAACGTGAGGCTGTCATGGCAGCGGACTACAGCAGTCGAAGTGATAAGTATTGCAAAGCGGATATATTCCAAACAAAGCTCCCCACAAGAAGTCCTTCTTTAGCTCAGTTGGTAGAGCATCAGACTGTAAATGGTTACCTACCTGGCTCGAACAGAATTGGCTTACGTGATCTGGGTGTCACCCGTTCGATCCGGGTAAGAAGGATTCTTTTGCCATTTTATTCCGCTGCGTTTGCCTGGCTCGAACAGGTGGAATGAAGCAGCGTCGCCGATGTAAATTAGCTAGTTTATGTTCCGCTATCCTTGGGACTTATTTTCGCTCCGAATGATTCAGAGACCACGGAATCCAGATGTAGACGATTGTGAAAATGCAGACGTCGCCTGCCAGACGGGCTGTTGCAACCACTCTGCTCTTCCACTAGAAACGACTTGTATATTAATCAGAAACCCAACTATGCAGCGGGTGATTCCAGAAATTACGAAAGGTCCGGTATAAATCCTTAGAATGTAATGGGAACGGAGCAGTGAGGGGTGAGGTTGGTGATAGGTATTCATAAAACAAGAAATCGATAGCCGGTTCCAATGTGCAGAACGAGAAACGAGAAAAGGATTGTGGGGGCTCGTTATTGGGTCGTCATAAGTATTCATAAAGATCATCACATCACAACACACCACTTTCCTTTCTTCTCTTCGGTCTGTTCCGGCTGCGTTTCAGCCGGAGGGGAGGAAACAGGTGAAGGTAGGTTTGACGGGGGTGAATTCTCCCTGTGCCACGTCGAGAGAAGCTCTCTCTTGTGGCAATCTCGAAAACCATCCACCGGGGAAGAAGATGGAAGACGCGGTGGATTCGAGTCTAGAGCGAGGGGAGATGGGTGGTGCGTCCAGCTGGCTGTCGTCCGCATCTTCAGACACGTCCTGTAGTGCTGGAGGTGATGTTAGAAAGTTTACAAGGAGTGCACGCTGCGATGGACTTACTCAAGCTTGAGCGGGAAAGGCTGCGGTTGGGATTCATCAGGGAGCGGAACTACAGATGCAATCGGAGTTGCTTCATTTTTCGGCGTCGGTACTTCAACTGGTGCAATAGAAACGTCGGCAAGGGCGGAGATGTGGTCTGTGGGAGCAGGGATGGAGTCGAAAGGCTCGACCGCTTCCGTGAAAGCATCGGTTGCAGCCGGTGCGCCGACTTCAAGATCATCTGAGGACGAACCAACGGCAGCTGGCTCCGGGTCTGTGTCTGTGATAACGTGGGGAACAGTTGAGCCAACGTCAGGAACGACATCTTGGGCTACAGTTTCAGCGGCAGTCTCGACTGACGATTCCGCTTCCGCACCAGAGCTGGCGGAAGTGGGATCATTTGCGGATTCTTGGATTTCGCCCTCGCTCTGCACCGCAACCTGCTCGTGGTCCACTGCAGCCGGTTCGGTCTCCGCAACGGGAGCCAACTCCGTGTGGTCGATAGAGACCTGCGCTGCAGCGGCGTCTTGCTCAGAGACAGTCGGTTCCGATGGCACCTCGACGACAGCCGCACTTGTGGAGTCTGCGACCTCGGGCACATCTAGCGATAATCAGTACCGAATATCGACCATTACAGACGAACTTACCAGTGTCGGATGGGGGAGTGGCATGATCGACGACCGCAGCGCCTTCGGCGACGCTAGACTCGGCGGGAATTTCTTCGCCAGTTGCCTTTGATTCGGAAATGGTCTCCGCTGGCGCTGCTATTTCGGTGTCGAGAACCTCTCCCGAAACGGATTCCTCCACGAGAGATTCGCTTGGTTCCACGGCTGGCTCCGGAACGAGTACCTCTTCGTCGTTCACCTCCGCGGGAACGATGTCGTCAACCTCTGTCGAAGTTTCAAGGGGCGGAACAGTTTGGTTCGAGCTCTCCGCCGGTTCGGAAGTGCCGTCGTCCGACACGGAAGCCTCCACGATAACCTCACTTGAAGGTTCCTCTGCAGCATCGGGAACTGAGTGCAGATTCGACTATGAGCTCAGAACTCTCCTCGGGGTGCACCAAGTCAGAAACAGGGTCAGTGACCTCTGAAGCAGGCTCTAGGTTCATGAACGGTCGTCAACAAGAGCGTCTCGCTCCACCATCGACTCAGTAGTGACAGAAGGAGAGCTGCCTTGAACTAAGACAGAGTATGAAGGGGTCCAGGGAGAGCTTGCTCTCGGGAGATCAGCAGGCGCATCCAACGCAGCGGCTACGGGCTGCTCGTCGGGGACTTCCGCCGCATCCTCTGCAACATCTTGCACAGTAGGCTCCGATTGTTGTTCCGTCCCGAGCTCCGACTCCGTCAACTCTTTAGATGGGCTACCTTGGACAGACACAGAATACGAAGGTGTCCACGGCGAGCTGGCTCGAGGAGGATCAACAGGCGCGTCCAACGTAGATAAGTCGACCGTGGGTTCAACGACAGAGGGAGGGAGATTGGAGACGGGGTCCTCTGATGCCTCTATAATAGATTCCGGTGGCTGAATCTCGCCGACGGGAGCATCTACCGCGTCCTGCAATTCCGTAGGAACGGGAAGTGGACTGCCTTGGACAGATACGGAGTACGAAGCAGTCCACGGAGAGGTGGCCCGAGGGGGATCAGCAGTCGCTTCCAACGCAGCTATATCCACCGTCGGTTGTACGATGAATTGTGTCGAGTCGGGAACATCCACTGCCGCGTCGAAGACATCCTCCGCTGCAGGTTCTGGTCGATGAACCTCATCAGGCGACATGTTTCGTCCCGAGCTCCGGCTCCGTTAACTCTTTAGACGGACTGCCTTGGACGGAGACAGAATATGAAGGCGTCCACGGGGAGCTAGCTCTAGGGGGGTCAATAGCCGCCTCCAATGAAGAGATGTCGATTGTCGGTGGTGCAACGGAGGGGACGGAGATGGGAGCCGGGATCCTCTACAACAACCTCCGGTTGTTGTTTCTCGTCGACAAGATCATCCACCGAGTCCTTCAACTCCGTAGGAACAGGAAGCGGACTGCCTTGGACCGACACAGAGTACGAAGGAGTCCAGGGAGAGCTTGCTCTTGGGGGATCAGCAGGAGCGTCCAATGCAGCGGCCGCGGGCTGCTCGTCGGGGACTTCCGGCGCCTCCTCTGCAACATCTTGCACAGTAGGCTCCGATTGTTGAACCTCGCCGAGATGTTCTGTCCCGAGCTCCGACTCTGTCAACTCTTTAGATGGACTGCCTTGGACAGACACAGAATACGAAGGCGTCCAGGGAGAGCTGGCCCAAGGAGGATCAACAGTTGCCTCCAGCGCAGAAATGTCGATTGTCGGCGGTGGGACGGAGGGGATCGAGATGGGAGCTGGATCCTCTACAACGGCCTCCGGTTGCTGTTTCTCGTCGACAAGATCATCCGCCGAGTCCTTCAACTCCGTAGGAACAGGAAGTGGACTGCCTTGAACCGACACAGAGTAGGAAGGAGTCCAGGGCGAGCTTGCCCTTGGGGATCAACGGGCGCTTCCAGTGCAGATATGTCCACCGTCGGCTGTATGATCAGGATGAGAATCAGTGTAAACTCGTAACCTGGCATCACTTGCCTTCACAAGCTGGTCAGGTTCAGAAGAAAACATTTTTGGCTGAGGGGGAGCGGGAGCGTCCTCAACGTTGCCGTCAGACGACTCGAGCGAACCTTGTTTGACTACCGAGTAAGACGGAGTCCAAGGCCGCTCAGGTACCGTTTGTGCGGGCGTCGAGAGTGTCTGGTCATGAAGTTAATTTGCGGTACTTGGCCAAGTCGAAGGTGTCATTTACCTCGTCTGCAGTACCTTCATTGAGACTGTCGGCCGGAACATTGAGGGCCGGGTCAGCAGTAGAAGCATCGAGGAGTTCAGTTGCCTGTGTACAAGTTATTTGAGTAAAACAACGAACAAAACCGAAGCTCCTACATCGGTCGTGGCATCTCGGGGGGAGCTCTCCTGGTCAATACCATCTTGCGCCAGAACTCCAGACTCAATTAAGGCGGCGACAACAGCCTCGCTTCCGGAGTCTGCAGAAGTGTCCTCAATGTCCGGATCCTGAAGCGTTGAGGGATCGACGATCACGCCAGTGTCAATCAATGACGTGATGTCGGCATTTTCGCCAAGCGCTTTGACCAATTCCTCAGAGTCATTGTGCGTTGAAGCTGAAGGTTGTTCACCGCCGGCGTTGTCAACCTCGACGGCGAATTCTTGACCCAACTCGTTGGTAGGTTCATCGACTGGAGTAGCGTTTGGGCTTCCCTGGACCACCACAGAGTAAGATGGGGTCCAAGGGCGAGGAGGTACATCGGCCGGGGTCTACCAATGCAAGATTAATTGTCTGGGCTTGTGCAGTTGCGGTGAGCTTACATCAACTGGAACGTCTTCAGATCCGGTCACGGTAACAGTGGTTTCAACTTGCTCCGGATTGGCGCTTGCGTTGATGGAGGGCGGTAAGACGGGCAGTTCAGCGATCTCCTCCTCGTCATTGGGCGATATCCCGGGGCCTTGAGTTATAACGCTATATGATGGAGTCCATGGCGACTTCGGATGCTCAATCTCGGCTTCGGGGGTAGCTGATAATCGGGATGTAGCCTAGAATATGATTCAGCAATCGATCATCCAGCTGGAAAAAACATTTTTACACGGTCTTCAGGCTCGCTCTCTGCAAGGGAGTTGATCTGGAGAAGAGGCGGTTCTGCGGCGCTTTCATCCCGAATGAAGGATGAGTGAACGATGGGTGAGCCATCGGCATCGTCTTTCGGCTCGTCGACGGCGCTTGTATCTTCAAGAGGCGTCTGAGGAACCACTGTCGAGTGGGGCGCCTGTGCGAGAGCATCCTCCTCCGCAAGATCGCCTATCAACTCCGGGGCCGCTTCCTCAAGATGTACGGAAGTCGTTTCTGCGGCCAATTCCTCGGGATGCCCTTGAATTGTCTCGCCAGTCACTTCGGCTTCGGGTGTGATAGACTCGTCAACTTTGTCGTCGCAGATGGGCCCTTGCACAGCCGGCGTCTCCTCCAAGGCAAGTTCCGCCGCAGCGACATCGCCAGATTCAGCCGGGGTGGTTTCAGCAAATGCAGAGACGCCCTCAACTGAGCCAATGTCCTCGGAGTCTATCGGAGGAACCGAAGCCGGCGTTGGTTGGATTTCGGGTTCAACTGTCGGCGCAACTTCGGTTGGAACGTTGGGTTCGTCAGCGAAGTCGAAGGGGCCCGAACTGGGAGGTGCAGCATCAA